ATTCTGTATAAGCTGAAGGTTTTTAAGAGAACTATTGGGACATCCTGATAATAAAGAATTACAATAGTCCAGCCTCGAGGTTATAAATGCATGGACTAGTTTCTCAGCGTCACTCTGAGACAGGATGCTCCTGATTTTTGCAATATTACGAAGATGAAAGAAAGCTGTCCTACATGTTTGGTTTATATGGAATTTAAAGGACATATCCTGGTCAAAAGTAACCCCGAGGTTCTTTACTGTGGAACTAGATGCTAAGGTGATATCATCTAAAGCAGGGGTGTCAAACTCTGGTCCTCGAGGGCCACAATCCTGCATGTTTTAGATGTTTCCCTCTTCCAACACACCTGATTCAAATGATCAGGATCGTTATCAAGCTTCTGCAGAGCTTGATGATGAGCTGATCCACTTATTAAACAGCATTGTGTGACATTGATGCCAATAAAGACATGTAGTTGAAAAATAATTTTGTGGACTCAATTATCAGCATGAGCCAAATCTACACATCTCAGCACTGGCCTGATAACCTCATAGTTTCAGTTGATGTATTATTTGTAAAAGAAGAAAACCAAAAAAAAAAAATAATTCTTTAATTTTATTATGAAGTAAATAAACGTTTTTAGTGATAAAATATCATTGTTGTCGTTTTTTATTGTCTAGAACCGCCACTTCGCTTAAATTTACCCGCGTTCGTGGTGCGTTTGTAGTAATGCTGCTTTTCCCCACGGGACCATGAAGGCAGCACGAGGGGGGGATTCTCAGACGCGTCGTACGTAAACATCCGTGCGCGCTCTGCCTACCCAGCATGCAGCGCGGCGGCACACAACATAGCCATCTTGTCAAGAGTGACTGAGTGAGGGAGGCTGGAGCTGAAGGCGCTGCTCAGATTATCGCTTGTTTTCGGCGTCAGACTCCACCGCGACCTTCTCCCTCCGCCGCAGTTAGCGTCGCAGCACCGGTCGCCGGCGGACGAGCCGAAGCCGCGGAGGCGAGACGACACAGCGGACCGCTTTTCGGGAGGATGTCTCGCATACTTGTTCCGACGTAGGGGGAGTGTGCGGCAGCCAGTTGGCTTGGATCGTTAGCTAGCTCCGTGAGTGGAGGGCTCCGGGCCCTCCTCAGCCTAAAGTAGCTCCTGCAGCTGTGCAACACACTCTGCGACAACGGCCGCTCGACAACTGGACAGCCGGGACGTTAGCAGGCCGGTCCGGACCGACGGGGAGCTCCGGAGCAGCCGCCGTACGGGCTGCCGATACCCGAAGCCGCACCGCCGGACGAGACGACACGAAGTGCGGCGTTGCGTTATGAGCTCATGAGACGCAACAGGAGACTGAGAGAGGAAGAGGATGGCGCAGATTCATCTTGATTACAGTTAGGTCGGCTTAAAAACACAAGCAGGTCTGCGCTGAATATGATCTAAGCTCTGAGGAACTGCAGCCAGCTCGTCTCTTTCTGACGGAGGACAAACATAGCCATACGGGACCGGGAACCAGGCGGACAATATGTCGAAAATGCCGGCCAAGAAAAAGAGCTGCTTTCAGATCACCAGTGTGACTCAGGCCCAGGTGGCGGCGATAGGGGCCGCCGACGACACGGAGAGTCTGGAGGACCCGGACGAGTCACGGACTGAAGACGTGTCGTCGGAAATCTACGACGTGTCCCGGGCTGAGTACGAGCCCGCGTGTGACAGAAGTTCGTCCGAAGAAGCCCTGAATAATGTCGGGGAGCCGGAGGCGGTCAGTGCTGCGGCTCCATCCGCCGTACCTCCAGCCGGTCAGGTGTCCGCGCTGTCAGGCAGCATCTTGGGGGAGTTTCGAAAAGTGGGAGTGTCGGCCTCAACTCAAGGTGGTCAGCAGCAGCAGCAGCCGGGGATCGGAGGTACAGCTGGTTTACCGCTCGTCCCTCAGCAGCAGCAGCCTGCAGCCAGTGCTGGGCCATCCGGTGTGTCAGTAAACACATCCCAGCCTGCTGCAGCCATCAGCTCCGCTCCCCCTCCTGCCACCTCCACGGTGAGTTGCACTTCACGGTTCAGGGTCATTAAGCTCGATCATGGTACTGGAGAACCCTTCCGACGAGGCAGGTGGACGTGTACAGAGTTTTACGAGAAGGACTCTGAGGGCTCTGTTGTTAGTAGGACTGTAGATAGCATTAGACATCCCAGTGTGACACTGGACCCTGCTGCGGACAGAGACAGCGGGCTCGGCCTTACAGGTGGATCTGTGGTTGCCCCGGCAACACACTCAGGTCAGGGTTTGGGCTCCATGGCGGATGCTTCTGGCTCGTCAACTCGCATGCATCCAGCGGAGACACTACCGCAGCAGCTCCACCATCAGAACTACAGCGCCCGGCAGCAGGGTGTCAGTGGATCAGCCACACACAGTACTTTTTCCAACATGAAACCTGCAGCTGTCCCTGCTCAGCCGGCGGTGGGAGGTCTCCAGCCTCCTGCTACCCAGAACGTGCTGCCTGTCGGACAAAACGGCCTGCCTCAGTCTGGGATCCACATACAGAAGTCCCCCATCATGCCTCCCTCAGCCCAACCCATTGCTTATCCTCCCCAGCAGCAGCAGCAGCAACAGGTTCCTGTGGGCCTCCATCTGACCAGCCAGTTGTCTGGACTGATGCAGAACCAGGCTGAGTACTATCAGCAGCAGCAGCAGCAGCAGCAGCCTACTTCCATGCTGCCAGGGCTTGCCACTGGCCAGTCCCTCCCAGTGTCCAGCCTGTCTGCATTACCGCAGCCCGTGGGACAAGGACCCAGTGCGGTCATGCCTCCAGCCTCTGGAGGGGCTTCTGTGCCAAGTCAGGTTGGAGATGTTGCCGGAGCAGGAGGAGGATCTGTACCTGCCGGACAACCAGCTCCTGCCGTCTTGCAGCAGCAAACTGTAGGACTGGGAGGTGCCGGAGGCTCCATACTGGTTGGTGGATCCGCTCTGCAGCAGCAGCAGCAGCCTGTGGGTCAGTACACCGCTGCTGGACAGCCTCAACCTCATGGCCATCCTGCATCCTCCGGTGTACAAAATGTGCCTGCCATCACAGCGAGTTCCAGTGTGCCCGCCACTGTGCCCACTGCTGTGCCCAGTGCCTCCAGTGCAGCCATGCCAAATGTGACAACCTTCAGTTTGCCTCCAGGTCAGATACTCCACAGTAAGACTCCAGTAGCTTTGGGGGCACAGGGCCTTCCAGTGACTGGGTTTGGACAGGTGGAGGGTGCTGGTGGTGGAAGGAAGTCAGAGGGACTCGTTAACGCACAGTTTCCAATTATCCCCGGGAAGGAACCGGTGAAGCCCTTCATGCCTGAGAGCCTGCAGCTCACCACTCCGACTGTCAACAGCCTATTTGGAATCCACATACCTGTCGACGGGGAGGAGGACAGGTAACACGCTTCTGTTTCTTTAATGCTCAAAAATTCTTATCCCTGGTGAGCTTCACCACTCCTGTGAAACGTTACCAGCAGTGCGCACAGTTTCAGCAATCGCACGAGGACAGTGTACGGCCTAACGGTGCACACGTTCATGTGGGGGAGAAGTTTGTCATAGCAGGCCCATGGAGCTGTTAGCTGTGATTGTAGGAGGTGAAAACTGAAAGCTATGACAAACAGCAGCACCGAGTTGGCAGTGTCGGTTGTTCAGTGTGTCAGATGGACAGGGTTTTCCCCGTAGTTTCAGGGAGGGAGGGGAGTTCACAGAAGGAAGAGACTAGTGGCGCACAGGAAGGAAATATAATGTTTGTTGCTTCTTATTAGGGATTTAAAAAGTAAGTAGCGCACTTGAGGCACCCGTGGCTGCACAAGCAACAACTTGTCAAACAAACACACGACTGCTGTGTAACTCCTAAAGGTGTGTGTTGTGTGGAAGTGTTTAGCTGATGCCTCCAACCTTTAGCTCCCTCCTCGGCTCTCACCCTACCATGTGTGAGGTGACTGCAAACATCAAAGTTGCTGCATAGAGTCAGCTCTGCCCTGTAGCCGTGCTGCATGCCTGACCTTTTAATAGGTTAGTTCCTGCTACAGAAATAACGCAAACAAAGTGAAGAGTGTTTGATTTTATGCATTCACGACACGGTTCGCACTCAAAGCTCCATCAGTCGCTGCTCATTAAAGTGTCCGCAGAGGAGCTTAGTGCAATTAGGATTGTGTGGCACTGATTATTAACAATCCTCCGTACACAAATAAAACTAACCTACAGCAGGCATCACGGGAGCAGCGTGTGATCTACAACCAAGTACTATTTTTAAAAAGATAATCCGCCTTTTTTATGCCTGCATATAACTACATACAGCATGCTTCCCTCCCTAAAGTCATCTCTCTCTCAGCTCTCGGTGTAGTAGATGGCACGCATGAGCGGAAATGATACAGTGCCTGAAATCTCTGTGGTTTCCATCGACAGATGTAGCAGAATGTAGACCAGACAGGATATTATGCAGACTGCACAACGCTGGCACTACTTTTCTCTTCACATGTGGGTGGACAACCCCTTAAAACGGTATTTCGTCTCGGTGCGTCATGCGCACTCCGGGCGGGGGGAGTTTGCGCTTGTGAAGTTTATCTTTGCCGTTTCTGTGCCGTTGACCAAACACACCTCAGTAGATTACTGTCTTTGCACACACCGGGGTGATACGTGTCGGTGATTTGAGGACCAGGGAGTGTTGCCTGAGAAAACTGAGACGACCGTGCACACGTCTGTCATTGTGGCGGTTGATGTTATTGCAGTTTGTCGCTTCTAATGTTAGTGTTTGCCTTATTTTTGTTTGGGAGAAGCTTTAGGACTACAGCTCCCATCGATGGCTATAATCTATAGTATATAAGCCGCGCTGTGGACTCTTAACGTGAGCCCTGTCCATTTTAAGGCTGTATTTATTTATTATTTTTTAGTTATATGGGGTAATAACTAGTTATTAGCAGTTGTTATGACTAGAAAGTTAGGTTCTGGAGTCATAACAAGTCTTTTATTCTGATTTCTAAGCAGATTTATGGATGTTTCTTGAAGGAAATTAAAGCTTTTCCTCCACAGAGCAGTGCCAGAAGCAAATTTAGCAGCATCAAATGATAAAAAAAAAAAATAGGGTTGTATTAACTCAACCATTATTGACATTTTCTGCTTATCAACTAGCCAGAATGAATAGATTTCAATCAAATAAAGGATCACAGACTCGTTGCCTTTACTGTAACGGATCCTGCTGAGAGTCGTGGGTAGTCAAACCCCAACACATAAATCACAATGATCAGTCCCTAAGGGTTTTCTTTTATTATGTGCATTAATTGCCTGTGTGAGCTGTGGGTTACTACTGTTGACCGTGGCGATAAGCAGCTCAAACACTGAGCCAAACACAATCACCCCAGCGGGCACCCGTCCCTTTCATCTCACGCGACATCTTTTCCTCTGTGATAGGGAGGAACGTCCGACAGTCTGAAACCCTCTGATGGAGACCTTTTCAAATTGTCCTCCTCACGGTTCGTGTCTAATCACAACAGGCCGTGGATCTATACTTTTATGTCAGGGTGCTATTTTAGGCATTGTTTACACCGCTCGCTCAAGGCGCTGTAGGTTTTTGGAGTACCTACTGTATGTGAGAAGAGCCAGCTCCCAGGCTGATAAGAGCAGGGGTCACTTACGACAGCCGAGCCCTATCAGACATTGAGCAGTAGTCTTTCCACTGTGCCTCTATTCTGCCGATAAGAGACCTGACAGCGGGGTGTGTCCGCCGAGTGCAGCCGTTGTCACGTCACGACCCTTTTCTTTTGAAATGTTGCTTTCTGTCCCGTACGTCCATGCTCCCTCCGTAAGTCGACTGACGTTGCTGCAGCTTCGTGGTTTGTTTAGTTTTTTTTTTTTCCACGTGCAGCATCGTTGCGGTCGGTGCTTCGTACCAGCCAGCCCACTGATTGACTGACAGACGGGGCTTGACAGTTGTTCGTGTACAGATGAAGTGCTGAATGACATTCCTTCGCTGTAGCAACTGCGGCGAGCTCAGAAGAGGTGGAGGAAGCTGCAGAGTGAAACCCGCCGTGCCTCTCTCTTCAACAAGCATTTTAGTTATGCTCGACACACCCCCTACCACCACCACCACCACCACCGCTGCCCTCCCCCAGTTTTTTTTGTCTCTTGCTTAATTTCTACATTTCCACAGCGCTGTTTATCTCCAAAAACACACCTTCTCCTCAAACGAGCTCCTCCAGTAGCTAATATCTACCATCTGTACAACACAGGAATATATTACATGTATTATATTGCGTTGGCTGCATATTTAAGAGGGTTGGCGACGGCTTGCACAACCTCCAAAGACTCCTTTTGGTCATTTTGCTAGGCCCTGATGTTTGCCCATCTCTTCCTTTGCCCTGTAGTTTTCCCTGCAAGTAATTAAAGTACGACAATGAAGATACAGACGAGAGACCGAAGATGTTTTTCTCGTACTTAGACGATGGCTCGCTCGGCTTAATGTTTCCCAGATGGCTTCAGCAACTGCAGGCGTAAATTAACATTGGTGGATTATCATAACGTCTTTTTGTTGCTTCTAGTCTGCGGGTTCATTTGCATAAACGTATTGCGTCTGTAGCGTGTCTGTAATCGAACTCCTGCCGGGGAGGTATGGTGCTTTTCTTTTTTTTTTTTGTCCCCACATAATGGCAGCTTATGTAAGATCAGACTCCTTAGGAGGTAGGACAGGACAGGGGAGGGGGAGAGTCCAGGTTGTAGTTACTGTGAATTGAGACACTGTGTGGGTGGATGAGGGGTGTGTCTTTGAGGGGATGGGCTGACTCGGTGTGTGCACATGGATCCATGTTGGGGATCCCTGAGGAGCTGTCGCACGGGCTTCTGGACAAACTGGACATCGTTTTGAGTCGCGTTAGAAGCGTGGCTCTGTGACACGGAGAGACAGCGTGCACCGCGGGGTATTTCCCTCCACTCGCTGACCTCTGGTTTACTGCTGTATCCTGTTTTCAGTCAGAGTCCCTCTCGCTGCTCTCCACCTTCTATTCATTTAATATTCCTCAGCTCGCTCCCCGCTTCCGCAATGGGGCTCTCTGCTCGTATCGCGTGACATTTGGTGGGCACATTTTATCCAGAGTGCCTCACCGAGGTAGAAGTCAACACATTTCTTTGTCGGACGTCTTTCGCCTCGATGCTAATAAATGTTTTTTCAATCTGGCTGCCGCCGTTTATGCCGTAATACTTTCCTGTTGGAGCCGTGCAGCTCGGATGTGTGAAGGAGCAGCAGAGTGACCTGCATTCACCAGCAGGGTTACAGCTCCTGCTCCTGCTCCTGAACTCCTTTAATCACTGGCTGTGTGTGTGTGGTATGTGTTTCTGTGTACTCTAGTCAAGTTGTTCATCCTGTGTGACCCCAGCCCCTTTCTCAGCCTTTGAGCTATTTTCAAAAAGAAAGATGTATTGTTCTGGTTTGACTGACACCTCCAGTCTGTTTGTCTGTAGGCTTTGCTTCACTCATCACCTCCTCCCCAGCTACTGAGGCCCTCCATTGTTCTGACAAGCAGAAGATGGCTTTTTTTTTTTTTTAATGGCCTGTTTAACTGGGGATGTGCTGTACTGCGCCGGAGATAAGCTCAGCTCAGAATGCGCTTGTTATCTTGTTTTTTTGGAAAGCCACTCGAAGCATTAGCGCGGCTCACGTTTGTAGTTCTGTCCCTTTTCCAGCTCGGCACAAACTAGATGTAGTTGTAATAATTTAGAACTTGTTTTATGATAATTTCATTTCATTAGTTATTTAATATTTTTTAATATAAAATCGTAAAAACAACAGCTGCCATTCCAGGTTGTCACCCCATGAATACATGTCTTCTTTGATCACATTCCTTCTTTGATCACTTTTGCTAAAACAAGCAGGTAACTGCTTGTTTTAGCAATAGCCCAAAGGTGGATCCTGTCACCGAGCTGTCAGTTGTTTTAGACTCCATACTGTATAATCCACTCAAATGTCAGTTCTTGGACACATTGAGAGACTAGTAGAGCTTCACACAATTCCAGGAATTAGACACTGAATTTTCCTTGTATCTCAGAAAGTACAAAGGTTGGCACAAAAAAAAACAAACAAAAAAACAGATTCCACAGCAACTGCTTGCTTTAAGATAGTTTTTGCTTGTGATGAGGCACCTCAGTACACATGGAGGAGGTTAAAGAGTTTTTCTTTAGAAACTTTATGATTGTAATGCTTCATGCTTGTGTTGCAGAAAGTGTTGAAGATGAAATGTAAGAAATGCAAGGTGCCAGACTCCACAGTAGAAAATATGTCTTCCCTTTACAAAAGTAGCCTTGTACTTCTTTCTAACCTTTTCAGACTCACAATAGAGAATTTCTAAAAAATAATGATGCAGCTAAGCCAGAAATATATTCTTTTTTAATTCCGTACTTTTTTCTTCCTTGTCAAAACCTCACGCGTGCTATGCTAGCAGAGGCTCCAGTATTCTCGAGCCGCTAGCTCGCACTAGCCTCCAGCAGAGACGAGGCTGCAGAGGTCTCATAAATGCTCGTCTTTCTAAACTCTACGCCCCAAAGTTTGATTTCATTCAGACTCCTCAACCGGCGGTCACTCGAATGACATCACTGGAGAGAAATGATCAGACTTCACACAGCTCCCATGGAGCCACAAAAGGCTTTTTTTATTGCAGTAATGTCTCTAAGAGTTGAAAATAAAGTCTATCTGCTGTCTTGCTCGCTCACTTTTACTCCCATCAACTCTAGTTTTTTTCAGTTTGGAGAAGTTCGTTGTGCAATTCACGCCTCTGTTGATAATTAAATATTCAGAATAATTCCTGAATGCAGCGTCTGATCGACTGGTTGCCACCCTTCTTGGAGGTGCTTTGGAAGGAGGGAAGTTTTGTGGATTAAAAACACTCAACAGGGACAAAGTTCCTGGGTTAACTAACCCATGCTCGTAGGATCCGAGCTCCCGGTCTCCTCTGGTGGCCACGCCGTAATCATGCAGTTGCTCCGGGTCCTTCGTGTGCTCCATCTCCCTCGACTACAACCCAAAACCCGCTGAAAGAAAATCCCATGAGGCCGCTGAAATCTAAATAGTTTTGACCTACTTCTGCGCCGCGGTGGATGTATGAGCGTTCCCGAGAACCCGATTCCTCATGCCGCACCAACAGTGGGAGCTTTCAACACCCTCTTTTAGCCTCCTCCTCTTCCCTCTGCGCCCCCTGCCTCCCAATTACTCTACCTGTCCATTTACTGCCACCCCCACTTTGCTAGTAATCCCTCAGCCCTGTTTCTTTCTGCGGCCCTACACACTAAAGCAATTGGTTAAGCAGAGCAGAATGGGAGGGTTTCCACTGCGGCCCATGTCTTCCAAACACGGCCCTTGTGGTTTTCATGTGGTAGCTCGCGTCGCCCCTATCTGCAGTTAAGTTTTAGTGCTCGCCGGGACCTTCGCTGAAGCACGACGCCTCTGCACCACCTTGCAAGAAAAAAAATAAAAAAATCTATTTTGACACCTTGCATTCTGCATGCTTGCCTTTCACACTTTCCTATTTTGTCCTCTTGCACTTTTACTTGCACCAACTTTCCAACACAAACTTACCCCCCCCTGCTCATCACTTAAGACTACTGTGGCTTCTTCACATGTTCACTGAGGTTGTTAAGAGGTTCGGCACCGTGAAACTGAACCTGTGACACGGCTGCTGCTTCGCAAGAAAAATAAGGAAGAAAACATGTGTCATGCTGCGGCTCGATGCGTGACATCAGCCGGCAAAAATGCACCGAAAAGGTTATTTTCGTCTCGCTTGCCAGGTCATACGTTCGCTCCGGGGCGGTATCTGGCAAAGCCTGAGCATGTGCAGCCATTTTTTTTTTTTTTTTTTTGTCAGGTTAGCTCTGAGAAAAGGGGATTTTTCTTGAGTGTAGGTATCTGTTAAGGCTCCCTCCTCCTGTCCTGATCACTCTCTGTGCTTTTGGGTTTTTTCGGAGGAGACCGCATTTTCATTGCTGAACACATTGGCTGGTTGGTTTACAAAGAGGGGCTTTCATAAATGGATATTGACTTGTTGCAATTTAGACGTACAAAGAGAGCCATTGAGAGCCGAGTGTTTGCTACTTGAAAACAGGGAATGATGACTCCTCTGGTTTTTTTTTTTTTTACCTCATTCATGAAGAGGACTCTAAGTCATCTGATCTTGTTGATTTCGGCCGATGGCAGACTTGTACAGAGTATGTGGAAAAGAGAAGGTTTTCTGTGGAGGTGTGTGGAGATTTTTTTTATTTTTATTTTTTTTGTGCCAGTGCCCGCAAAGTAATATTAAGCAGAGCCATAGGAGGAGGTTTGTGAGAGTGTTTAGTCATGAGGTAATGTGACAAAGGGAGTTTGTGCCAAAGATTTCTAGGAAAAGAGCCTTGGCTGCTATAATATTCACACACATGCTGTAAATCAACTCCTCATTCCCCTGTGCTGCGTGCGTAGCTCCGTCCCCATTGGCTCGCTGCTCTCTGTGCGTATGTGTGCATATGCTCATGTCAGTGTGCGTTTGTGCGAATGTGGGAGAGAAGCAGTTGGTTTTGAAAGGCATGAGCTGGGAGTAGATGAAATGTGTGTGCGTAGGGGTCAACATGGGGGTTTCCTTTCCCCTTCCTGAGATACATCTCTGGCGTAGAACACTGTGTTCTTCTGCTTAATTACCAGCAATATAGAACGTAATGTTAAAGTCCATAGTTTGATGGCGTTTGAGCCAAAATAATGGAAAGTTTACAGTGTTAGCCCAAATGAGCCAGTCTTCTTCAACACTAGTGGTCGACTGATGTGTTTTTATTATTATTATTGGAGAAGATCTATAATCAATACACAAACAAACCAAAACATAAATGTGTCAAAATTTAGAATAGCACAGAAAACTTTGTTGAAATGTCTTTGTTTCTTTATTTTTTTTAATAAAAAAAGAGCTTTTCAACATTTATCCAGAAGCATTAAAAGTATTGATTGGTTGAGGCTTATGGCATCTAACCAGGCGGATAACGCTGTTCGCAGAACCAGAGCAAAAGTGGCACATTTTAACATTAATTTAGAATACAGTTGTGACTGGATAATCTGACACTAAATGTAAAACCTTCTTCTATGTCAGATGGCAAGGCTGTCAGATTGTCAAGACGGACCCCGCTGCCCCGGGGACGACACTTCCACCCTGGGGCAGTGCTCTGACGGGGTGGAAGTGTCCAGAACACACAGGCAGTACTTGGCTGCTGATGCTAGTTTAGTTAGCGCTCACACTTCTGTTTCCACCATCGGTGGCAGCGGGGGAGTGGCAGATACGCTCCACCGCTACCATCCATGTTTACTTCCATAAACACTGAGCACGCTCGCTGCGTGTGACGTCGTCGTGTCCTCTTCTGCGTATGCGGGACACTTTTGGGTCGTATGAAGTTCACACAGCAGATCACATACAAGTCGCATTTAACTGGAAATGTGAACAAACTCACAAAGAAATCCTCATTGAGCATCAAGTCCTGCAGTGTGAACGTAGCCAATCTGTGGGATTGTTCAGTCAGATAATACGCCGTTATCCTGATTGGTGACATCAAATGTCATGTTGGAGTCAGAATCCAAGGCTGTCGCTATGTTAAGGCTGTTTTTATGGGTTCTGTTGGTTTTTCCTAAAAACCTGTCAGATAGCAAGGTTTAGGATTGTTAAGGGTCGGATTATAGAGTCACAGCTGTATATCATAATCTTCCAGGCCCTCAGTTGATCGACCCCTACTTGTGAACTCTATTAAAGAGTTAAAAATTCTGAATTTTTATCAAAAAAGCTCTGTCCAGAAGATGAATTTAGAAACAGCTCTCTTCTCTGGCACAGTGAGGCTCAAACATCCAAGAGACTGATCAGAACACACTTTAATACACTAAAGCTGTGTATCGCTGCCGTGCAACGCATCAGTTTCACATTGTGATATGAATATATATGTTGTTCATGTTATCGGTGTCATTAGGATGCACAAACGGACACAATTCGTCTCAGCTGCTTAAGCTCGTGTTCAAACGAGGAAACGGTGTGCGGAGAATATGGCTCATGGATTTAATTAAGTTCTGGTGCACACTTGGGGAGCGTTCTTTCTAATTAATCAGCTGAAGGTCGCTGGACTCGTCATGGATACATAACTTATCACATCCTTAATAACAGCAGAAACCTGCCACGTCTTAGCTTCATCAAATCATGACCAATTTACATTAAAATTGTTAGAAGAGAGGTTTCTCTTTTGTAATAACACAAACCTGTCTTGTCATAGCGTGAGTATATCTTTGTATAACAGTTAACCCTTTGCGTTATGATGTGATTCTGATCAGTTTCTTTCTGCCGTACGTAACACCTGAGACTCATTACGTATTTGTAGTTGAAAAAGGGGCAACGACTCATCTCGAGGAGGGCAAACTGAGCTGTGAGCAACGCACTGCAGGTAAATGGCCCGAGGGAGGCCCTTTAAAGTTTACGAAGCTGTCCCCACCTTTGAGCATGCATTCCTGCGTTTAAATCAAGGCTCCCCTTTCCCCCAGCAGCCCACTTTGCTCTGTTTGAATGTCCTCTGTGTTGCATTGAGGAATAAGAGCCTTTTTTTCTTTTTTCTTTTTTCCAGCCGAATTAACTGCAGCAGCATTCGGGTGAAAGAGTTTTATGAGAGGGCTGTGGAGTTGTGCAAGGAAGCATTTCTAGGAATCAAACTTGAGTGTGTTTCATTGTTTCAGCTCTTCACTGTCTGTTTCTTCTCTCTTCCCCGAATGTGGTTGACACAGGAACCCCTCCAAGGCCTTCTACCAGGCCTTCCAGTCTGGCAGCAGATTAAGAGACTCAAAGGCCCACAGTGATAGGTACAGTACCATACTGGATTGGACTGGGCAGGCCCTGCAAGAGTCTAACAATGTGTGTGCCGTGTTCAGTAGCAGCCAGCTTTGCTTTCTCCACGTGCATGGATTGAGTTTGGAAACAAAGCCTGGCAGCAAGCGCAGGATTGGCCAACAGACTTCTCAACAACATCTCTCTCTCTCTGTTATTTTCCCTCCACCTCTCTCTCTCTCTCTCTCTGGGGCTCTGACCCTGTCTCTTTATATATTGTCTGTGCCACTTAAAAATCCAGTTTAATTTACTGCCTGGCTATTGCTTCTTTAGGTTTTGGCCTACACGTCTGGATGTGCCAGCTCAGACGGTGGAACGGAGTCCAGTCGGGCGAGCAGTAAACAAGTCTAACCCGATTTTAAATCAATTCATCTGAGAAATATTTCCTCAAATTAGGTTTGCAGAGATTAAAAAACAACATTTTGTAGACTGAGGAAACATCAGGATGCTTTGATGTGTTGTGTATGTCGACTGATGAGCAGCAAAAATCGATCAGTCGTCTCTTGACGTGTTTTTTTACGCGAGGTTTGTACCCGTTTAACACAGAAACCAATCGTGGAGTGTCTATATGTTCAAACTTTATTTACTAGTACCAGCTGCTGTCTGTAGATGTTAGCTTACCTATACGACACAAACTGTACAAAAAGTGTCTTGAAAGCCCACGGTCTTGTTTTGCCACAGCTCTACAGTTCATCACGTTTCTGAACTAGAAGCTCGGCTCCGTGATGACCATCCTTGAGCGGCGGTAACTCGTCAGCTCCCAGTAGCCAAGCTGACCCGGCGTAATCTGTCCCCTGGTAATCAGCTGATGCAGAGCAAGTAATCGGTTGACGCCGGCGATCTCATTTGACATTTCATCTATATATCCGTACTCTCAGATTTTAAAGACAGTATCGGCCTGCTGTTGACGAACCAATTCATCAACTAATTGTTTCAGCTTGTCTCATTTAAGTTATGTACGGAGAACAAAAATAACACCATCAAAGTTGAGTAACTTTACGGCCTAATTTTGCTGTAATTTAAACATTTTACTCAACCTCTTATCATTCTGGGTCATTTTAATGCAACCACCTGTAAAGTGACATCCCCAGATTAAAATGTTATTGATCCTCATAGAGTGTATATAAAGTTTGACCTTTGTTGTAAAGACAACACTCTCCAGTTTTAGCCACAGCAACCAGAACCACTCCAGGTGCTACCAGTAAAAACTTATTCCATTTCAATCATCACAGAAAATAATATTTTTTTAATCCTCGCCTAAGTTTTTTTCTTTAAAATAAAGGAGCATAAAGCAGCATTAGGTGGTGAGAACTAAAACACACTGTGTGCCAACAGAAAAAAAAACTTGTATTGCACTTATATTTCAAATTTGAAAACAATATCTGTAAAACTGAAAATTTGACACCAGTTTTTATACTAGTATGTTCATGCATTTTATAGAGGGACTTTTGGGCACCACTAAAAGAAAAAATGCAATATCTTTTGAATGCTTGAACCTACAGACATCGGTGAGGGCTCTACTGGAAGCTTGTACCCAGAGGAACCCATATCTGGGGGGCGTGCCATCTGAAAGGCCAGTGGCATTTATGAAAATAAAAAGAGAAGCGCGTGAAACCATATCTGAGCGACAGGAAATGAAACTTGTTTTTAGAGAAATATAGAGCTGACACACCGTCACCAGCCGCTGAGGAACTGCACACACACACACACACACACACACACACACACACACACACACACACACACACGATGATTTCAATCCAGCTGCTTGCTCTAACTGCTTTAGTTTACATGCAAATAAAAAAAAAAATTAACATCCTAATAGCGACGTTACGAACCCCTCGCTTCACTTCTGGATGCTCTGCTCGGCCAAGAGCTGCTTGTGTTTCCATGGAAGCGAAGATAACCAAGCGTTTGTGTTTGGTAAATCTTGGCGAGGGCTTTTTGGTATCGAAGCGTAATTGGTCTATTTTGTTCAGGTTTGTTTAGGATCGTGTCTGAGGCAACCAGATGAAATCATAGAAAAGGTTGTGAAAGTGTGCCAAAACACACTGCAGGCTGCCAGTTGTGTTTCTGATGACACCCGTCCGTTAGAGTCGGACCACCTCGTGATCACTCCCGCGTTTATTATTTTATTTATAGAGAGGTATGTGAAGAAAACGTACCGCTGATGTATTCGACTCTGTGATGTGTATTTCAGGCCTTGACCAACTGCCCCAAAGTAGAACTGTGTCAAAGGCGCTGCAGAGGAGTGCGTTGTCAAAATAAAAGTTCCCCGTTGCAGAATCCTCACGGCTCATTCAGCACATGTTCCTGGCAGAGAATCGTTCGTAGTGTGTCATCCTCCTCCGCGTCTCCATGGTTTTCTCTTGACATTTTTAGGGTTGTTTTTTTTTTTTCCCCCCTAAACTGCCCATCCCACACCAGTTTTTGACAGTTTTTATGTTGAGTTGCGTACAGAGCAGCAGAGTTTGGTCAAGTTCTCAAGTTACCGTGAAACTGTGTGTCGTCTCTTTGTTTTCTCGGAGAAACAAAATCAGTTTAGAGGTGCTGATAGGCAACTTTTTTGGATTTAATATCCGTTCCTCGATGCCTTGTTTGCCTTTTATTGTGAACCGCTTTATGATGTTTGCTCTTGAAAGGTGCTGTGTCAGTCAAACATACCCTGTTTCTGTTGGATAGAGGGGTAGCTTCTGGCTATTTATCCTCATCATGTCTGTACAGTGCAGACGTAGGAGCAGTATTGATCTCTCTTAGCGAGATAGCACATATTTGTTTCTCTAAAAATGTCAGACTTCTCCTTTAAATTGGGCCAAATTTAACCCACCAATTAAAATATTAGCATCCACACTATTTAAAAAATAATAAATTACTATAATAGGAATGTTAAAAATGTCAAAATAGATGAACACTGAGTATATTTGAAACTTAAAACATGAAGTACAGTAGTTAATAAATTTGTCCAGCTGCTGCTACACCTAATTCTTGCCTCTGATGCTTGCCTGCTTGCAATTTTAGCACTTCCTCATTCGATTCTCTGCTCTCCGACATGCACTCTGCCTGATGCGTTGTTACGTTAGGTGGAAGTTGTCGGCTCTCAGATAAAATGAAAGCAGACGTGTGCACATCTGAGAGTGTCAAAGACTTCTCATAGCAACACCAAGCTGCGAAATTAGTCCAAAAGGTATGGTCCGGTTTAGCCGAGACCACAATATTTGCATTGAAACTTGGTGCATTTAAAAGGCGACTAAGTAAGATTGACTCGTGCACCTGTTGTCCTTGGGCATATGATCAGGCCTCGACTCTGAACTTGTCTTATCGTGTCTCGGGCAGGCAGCGGATGGATTTGTTGTTACAGTGCCGCAGAAGGAAGCCTGCTGCTCTTAAAAATGCCACCGCCGCTGCCAGAGGCGAGGAACGACAACTATCTGATGCTCCGTTGATTTATACATCCCCTCACCGCTCCGTAAACTTTTCTGCCTCTAATGGACTTTTTATTGACGTTCCGATTTTACGGCTCGCACCGTATGGGGAAACGCCGAATTCTGCCCGCAGCTTATAAACGTCAGTCCTGTTAATGTAGAAGTTGAGGTTTACAGAAGTACCGGTTGCACAATCGGTGGCAGAGTGAGTTCAAACCCTCATTAGCATTTTGTTTGATCTCAGCCCAGCCCTGGGGCCTCTAAGGCTTGACCCTACAAACTGTACATCAGTAGTTATGTCGTGTTTGCTTTGTAACGCAGAGAAGAAGGAAAAAAAAAAAAAAGAGCAGGTGGCTTAACTGTGCATTCGGTTTGAAGTCAGGCGCTCAAACCAGTTCTCAGCTCTGACGGGAGATTGAGAGGCTTAAACGAGATCATATGTGTCAGGAGCGGCGCTTTAACTAGAGCTCCAAAACGCTGCTCACTCATGTTGTGGTTTCCAAAATGTCCTCCCCCCCTCCACCTCTCCCCCCAATCTCCACCTCTCCGGTGCCAGTTGTTCTTGGAAGTTCTACTCGGGAGTACCAGATGGTGTCCTAATATGGTTTTCACTTGATTGTTGTTCCTGCGTGTTTCGGTGTAATTCGTACGTCTGCTGCCCAAGTGGAGAGAAGCCGCCCAAACCGTCATGACTTAACAGAATCGTCTTACCCGCTGTGACTCCAGGAAGCGGAGCCCACAGCTCATTATCCGAGTCTTGGCTCGGGTCTCTGTGAAAATCTATCCGACGATGATTGTGTTATTGATGTTTTCCCCCGTCTCCATAGTTACAGACCCATCACTCGCCTGTCACATGTTCCTCTGACAGCAACACATGGGTGTTTGGAGCTTTCCTCCGGTTTGATTGCAGTCCGTCTCCCTCCACCTCGCTGTCGCCTCCGGTTGAATCAGCTGGAGGAGAGAACGCTTCATCCCCCTCCCGTGCTTTAACGGCAGTGAGGTCATGAGCAGAAAGACTTACGGCGCGGTATCAATTTCAGGCTTAGATGACAACAGAGCTAAAGCGATTAGCTGAGAACGCAACAGGCGGAAAATTAATCTGCAGCAATCGTGATCATTTATTAATAGTTTTAGCGAATGCTCGGTAACAGCTCTTCAAGTAAGAAAAGAGTTTATTTTCCTTGTTGTAGTCGACTAATATGTGGGAGTTCTGGTCAGATAGAACGGAGGATCTGAGCGAGTGAAAAGAAAAAGAACTGGATTTGCACAACCAGCCTCTCCCCAGCTAACACCGTTCACCTACAGAGCACTTGTCATGTGAGGTTTTGGACCTGGATGCACTTTTATTCACAGGTTTCCCCAAACGCTCCCTTCCTGATAACCCAGCGAGCGTCTGCCTTCGGTGGCGAGCGTCCAGACCGACTGTACGCAGAACAGCTGCTTTGACAACATCTTCATTACTGCGCAAATTTCTCCCATCTGTCTCCCATCAGTCTCCCACATGACAAGTTTAACATCTTCATGAAAACTAATAATTGTGCGCTGGGTTTAAA